GTGCAGAGTTTTTGTCAGGCCCTGTAAGTAGCAGGCCTTCCATGCATCACTCAGTATGTGCTCCTGTCTTCCTGGAGGTGTGGTGGGTTCTTCCTTGTGCCGTTCTCCCTCGGTGGGATAGCTCTGCGCAGGGCTCACCTGCTGAAATCGTGGCCAGTTTTCAGAGTCTAGCTCAGACTCCCCATTCCTATGTGAAGTCCTCTGTGATTCTCCTAAACCAACCGTGACGTCACCCTTCTCTAACTCCGCATCCCCTTACAACCTCTCCTTTTGTTGTTGTTTAGTTCCTAAGCCGTGTCTGACTCTTCCTGTGACCCCATGGCTGTAGCCCTCCAGGCTCCTCTGTCCGTGGGATTTCCCAGGCAAGAATACTGAAGTGGGTTTCCATTTCCTTCTCCAGAGGATCTTCTCCACCCAGGCATCCTTCCTGCGTCTCCTGCATTGGCAGGTGGGTTCTTTACCCTGAGCTACTAGGGAAGTCCATCCTCTGCCTTAGTTGTGTTCTAGCTGAGTGGTTTGCACACCTGGCTTGACTTCTTAGTCTGTAGACTCTGTAAGGGCAGGAACTGGGTCTCCCCATCTTGATCACATTGCACATATTTTATGCTCACAATATAACCTCTGGGTTGAATGAACTGCATAATTCAACTACCACTCAGCTTTTCTCCCTGAAAATAAACTTGCAGCAACTTTACATTCTCTTCACATTTTTTTTCTCCCTGTAAGCACCTAACCCTGGACATTGCAAAAATGTCAGCTTAACTGCTCTTGTGTCCCTCATCTTGGACTTTTGACACACTTTTCCCCCCCCCTGAGCTAGCGTTGTGCATTTGTGTCCTGGCAGCTTGAGAGCTCTGACTGTGAATAATGAGTCAGTTACCATCCAGCCTCGGGGAAAGCACAGTGATCTCTGGCTGGCCAGTCTGAGGCAAGTCCCTCCTCCCGGCGCCCTTTCCAGTGAAGAACTTGAAACAGTTGGAATTCAGAGTGCTGCAAAGGGAATTTAGGCAAAACCGTTGTCTGCTGAATTTAGCTGCTTTGGATTTATTCTGATTTATGACTGATTGGCTTTTAAATTGCTTATTTAATCCTAATGACTCTCGCTCCAGGGGAGGCCAGATACCAAGGAACACGTGATCAAGAAGCAGTGGAGTGAGGTAGTTTGGCTGGGCAAATGAAGAGCAGATATTGTCCAGAGAAACATTGCTCTAGGCTAGGAATGTGATGTGAAAGTCACCCCCCTGATTTTCAAAGTACCCGACCTTGTTATAAGCATGAATGCTTATCTCCTGCACTCTTGGCAGAAGGCTTTATGCAGCTTCCCAGGGTTGCACTGAATTTCACACCCCCCCATGAATTTTTCTTCCTCATGGCAGCGTATTCAATATCACTTCATGACTGGGAACATGCTTTTGATTTATATCGCTGTTGACCATGGTGCAGAAAAACAGACCCTTAGGAGTTGCCAAGAGAATTAGATCATGAATTCTGATGTTGGTGGTTGGGTTGATCTCTGAAAACTTTCTCAGAAGCCTAAATTTTCTTCTCAGCTCATGGACACTAGTCCAGCCTTTGAATGGGAGAATTTGAATTTTTAAAAATTGCTTTCGAAACTGAGTTCTCTGAAACAGATCACTTTCATCTGGAAGATATACAGTCTATTTATGATAGGTGTTTAATTTATCAAGGTATCAGTAGTTTCAACCCTTTTCCAGGAGTGTAAACTTTTTCTTTGGCCTGAAAATAGACACAATAGGTATAGTTAGTAGCCTTGTAAGGAAAATCTGTTGGAAGCTTGTCTGTTTGGTATCAAAAGAAAATTGAAATTCCACTGTTTCAGAATAATGAAACTTTTAGGGGGAAAAAAAAACAACCTTTGTTTCATGTATATTGAAGTTTTGACTCAGAAATACCCAAAAGAAACGCTCTTTCAGGTCTCAAAACCTACTTGTTCTCTGAAATATTGCTGTTATATTTCTAAAGTGTATTATGTCTGACACTTATTTCAAAGCAAGAAACATTAGGGATCAGATGAAAGGGTGGAAAAAGACTCTGATGAAAAACAGAAGCAGAAGAATATGAGACACACACTTGGATGGGATGTTTGGATCGCCACCAGAAGCCCTCTGGGAGGCAGCATCTGGCACTCGAATCAGGCTCTAGGCCACTTTAGATCCTGGGCTGTGCCATCATCTGCCATTTTGTCATGATCATATTGAAAAGGAACTTTTTCCCTATCTTATTCTGCCCAGAGATTAATGTTTTTGCTTTTGTTTTTTAAAATGATGAAAGCCGTTGTAAGAAGCACTTCAGAGTCTTTGGAGTAAAGTAGTATGTATTCTTGTGAAACTACTTTCAAGGTTTAGGAAGGAGTCTTCACGTGTAGGTTGACTCAGACAGAGAACAAGTTTTTTTCCTGCATCTTTCAGTATTTTAAAAGTGAAAGCTCTATGTGTACAATAGGAAGAAGTTTTAAAAGAGTGAATGAGAAGTTTTGTTCGATCTGAGACCTGAACAGTCGTTCCACATCAGCATCAGAAACCAGGACTTCATTATATTTTGCTCTTTATTTCGAAGGAGTTTCATCTGGCTATCTGTCAAATAACCTGGTGTTTTATTGGAAATGGCAGAGTAGTACACTGAGTGATTACGGGAACAAATAAAACTTGTCTTTAGAGAGCATTTGTTCTTCCCAGACATCACTGTGCTTTTCAAATATGTAAGTCAATAGATTATTACAGTAGTGTTGTGCTGAGTACACAGTATTTTCTCTGGAAATACTAGACTTAGGTTGTGCTAGACTTAAAGGATGTGGTTCACAGGTGCCAAGTGCAAAGAATCTGCCTGCCAATTCAGGAGACGGAAGAGATGCCTGTTCCACCCCTGGGTGGGGGAAGATCCTCTGGAGAAGAAAATGGCAACCCACTCCAGTATTCCTGCCTGGAAAATTCCTTGGACAGAGGAAACTGGTGCGCTATAGTCCATGGGGTCTCAAAAAGTCGGACACGATTGAAGTGACTTAGCATGCACGCGTGCACTTTACTTCTGCTCCCCAATAGTACTTCTGTGTTAAACGTCCTATAGACAGCCCTACAAGTCTTAATTCTACCAAAGATGAGGTATTCAGAAACAAAGGATTCTGGCTACCTTGCACCAGGCTGAGATCATTAGAACAAAAGTCCCACTGATTTCAGGGGGCCTCCTCTTGCCACACCTCCCATCCCATCCCTGTAGGTCACAGAGCTCTGAGCTGAGCTTCCTGTTAGACAGCAGCCTCCCGCTAGCTGTCTGTTGTACCCGTGGTAGTGTATCTATGTCAATGCTACTGTCCCAATTAAGTTGCACATCACAGTAAGTGGTCAGTAAGGACTGGGTTCAAATCCCCACTTGGCTACTCACCAGCTGTGTCACTTTCAACAGGTTACTTAGGCTCTCTGTAGGCCTGAAAAATGGGGATACTAACAGTGCCTACCTCTACGGCAGTGGTGAGGTTTAAATGAGATTTATGAGATGCGTATAAAAGACTGTCTGACACTCAAGTAAGCATTAACCCTTATTTATTTTAATATTACTGCTAATATTAAAAATAATTTTATGACTCAAACCATGACAACAGTGTGGTTTGACTCACTAGCTCTTTTACCTGTTGCTGTGATCCGTCTCCCACGTTTTAGCCTACTTTCGCAGCTGCCTGTGGTACATTTCCCTCAGTTTCCTCTGGCACCTCAAATGCAACTTGGGACAAAGGTTAATTTGTCCTCTCTCATCTGAATTTATCTCCCACATTTCTGTTAATGGCATCATGTTATCATAGTTTTCTCTTAATTTAGGATGAAATCTTAGACTCTTTTCTTATCCTAAGGACATAATCATGAATGTGCAAAGATTTAGTACAAAGGCACTTACTGTTTATAGTTTTAAATAGTTGAGAATAGGAACTGGTTAAATAAACTGTGTTAAGTATATACAGTGGAATTCTCTACAGTCATTAAAATTATGCAGAAGAATATGCAATAATATGGAAAAGATATTCTCAAGTTGACTTATAATATGGTATGTATAGTACAGTTCCATTTTTGTTTCAGGAGTTTATTTATGCATAGATAAAAGATGAGAAAAATAGTCACTGAAAAAATTGTTTTGCAGTGTTTCTGTCTTGTAGGATTATGTTTGATATTCTAATTTTAATTTTTTTATCTTATAAATTTTCTAAAATCATCTATACATAGCTTCCATATTTTTATTTTTTTAATTAACTTGTTTTAATTGAAGGCTAATTACTTTACAATATTGTAGTGGTTTTTGCCATACATTGACATGAATCAGCCATGGGTGTACATGTGTTCCCCATCCTGAACCCCACTCCCACCTCCCTCCCCATCCATCCCTCAGGATCATCCCAGTGCACCAGCCCTGAGCATCCTGTCTCATGCATCAAACCTGGACTGGTAATCTGTTTCACATATGATAATATACATGTTTCAATGCTATTCTCTCAAATCATCCCACCCTCACCTTCTCCCACAGAGTCCAAAAGACTGTTCTATACATCTGTGTCTCTCTTGCTGTCTCGCATACAGGGTCATCATTACCATCTTTCTAAATTCCATATATATGCATTAGTATACTGTATTGGTGTTTTTCTTTCTGGAAAAAAAAAAAAAAACCCTCAAATTTAGGAAAAAATAGAGATGGGTAATAACTAAGAGTCTTGCACATACTGTATTTTATTGACCTTTTAACACAGGCTGAGAACAATGCTGGATACATAGTAAGCTCTTGTTAATGTTTGTTGAATGGTGAATGAAATAGTGTTGTCTTTTATGCATTTTTAGAAATAACTTTATAGGCTAAGAGTACTTAATGCTTCAAGCATTCAGTTTGTAGATGTCCTTGAAAAGTTTTCTTTGCTGTTTGGAAGAAAAATTCTCAATAAACACGAAATAAACTAGACTGGTTGTGGTGGGTGTTTTCTAATATTATGTAATTTATCATTTCAGATAATGTGACCAAAAGAGAAGCCTTTGGAACTAATTCTTCAGAAAACAATTTTACTTCAATAAAATTTACTCAGAGAAATGAACCAAATGATCACCATCTTAGGAATAAAGCCATGTTTCTTCGTACTTCATCACAATGTTCGGAAGAGGAGCAGGTAATACCATAGCACATTTATAGAAGCAGAGAAAAAAAATTCATCATGAATTTAAAACAAGAGACTGTAAGAACATAAAAAACACTGGACAGTTGTTGGATCAGTAACTCACACTCCTGATTTTAGAAGGAGAGCCCCTGGATTACTTTACTGAAAGTCGTCATTACATTTCATGATTTCAACAGCCAACTTTTATGATAATATCAGGATCTGCCATCTACAGATTTTTCTTGTAATTATTTCTATATTTTAGCTTATCTTCTGTTTGGGATAAAAGAGTTCCTTTTTATAATTCTCCGTGTAAATGGAGTTTCTTTTACTGTCCTGGATTCAGTCCTTCAGACTTAAAGTAGAATATGTTAACTTGGTTTTTCCAAGAGTTGGTCAATAAATAAATCTCTTCCTAATCTTCAAGATTTCATTGACTATATTCACATTCTTTCTAGCTATGTTTTTTTAACAATCAAGGAATCCTAGTGGAAACTGTTCCATTTTTTTAAGCCATTTGAGTTTCTACTTTAAATCTCATGTGTCTTCCCTGTGATATCGTAGATAGAATTGTATATGAGATTGTGGTTAGACGTGTGTTTATATAGAGTGAAGGCCTATAATTCTTTACTTCTATAACTTATTCCAGAGAGACGATTAAGGGGCAAAACTTTTTTTTTCCCTCCAGAAGATTTCCTGTCTACTGGCAAACACTGGCAACTGGAATTACATTTTCTGTTGAATCTTTAACCAGCATGTGACAGGCAAAGAATTGTTTGACAGTACTTTTTCCTAATAACTTGAAAATGTTGTAGTAGCGTGCTCTGATTTGTCCTTTGGATGCTCGTTGGGATGGCGTGGGAGCCGGGGTGATGAGTGGGGAGTGTTCCTGTTTTACGCATGAGAAGACTGAGGGGAAGTATGTTACTCTAAGTGGCACTGTAGATGGGTCTAGAGGACAGGAGAAGGCAGACCTCCTGAAACCTACTCCCTGGCCACCACTGCGACTTAGCGAATCTGGTCACTAGGTGTGATGCTTCATCAAGCATAGCTAGTGAACAGAAACCGGAAGGGGAGTTTTGTGTCTGAAGGGTTACAAGTTCAGCTCCTTTATTTTCGGTTATTTCAAGTTCCCATCAATATGTCTTCAGTGGTTTTTGTCTTGTTTTTCAGATAATGATAGGTGACGGCCAAAAAGCTGGCAGTTGCTTTCAAGGTGATCTGAATCGAGCAGGGGAGGTGAAGGTAAGGCATGATTCAATTTTGTTCCATGGCCAAAACCCCCAAAAAGCACAGAAACCTCACAGGACTCATTTGCTATCTCCCATAAAAATTTGGAAAATTCAGCAGATTTTGTCCATATGATTTTTTTTTTAATGGTGTTTGATTTGAAAAAAAAAAGATGTTTGATTATCTTCAACTGTCTTGGTTGGCTGGGTTCTGGATCTTTCTTCCTCAAAGCTTTAGAAATGGAAGTGGTGCTTCAATAGAGAAACATATGACTCTCATTCCCCTGAACTTATACCATTAAGAGAAATGACAGTATAACAGATTCTCAAGTTTTAGCGCTAAACCATCATTTGGAAGATAAATTTTTGCTGTCACTTAGATGTCAAAAAATAACTGCAATTATGTACTTACAAGCAATGGGAGCTACCATTTTTAATTCCTGTGTAAAAGCCATGGTCTGATAAGTAAAGTGGGGAAGGAAGACCTAGGCTGTGTTTTGAATTCCAATGATGAAATCTAAATTTATAATTTTACAGTATTTTGTTATGCACATGTTTTAGATCATAAGCGTAAAAGGCGTTTCGACATCCTGTCTTTGCTAGGTCTGCCAGTGGTGAAATCATTGTTTTAATTTACACTCTTTGATATTCACCTGAGATGAATCAATTCATGTATGAAGTGTTAACATTTTGTTAATCTAAAACGTCTCATTGTCAGCTTGCTGTGGAAAGCAGTATTCCACATGGAATAGTTTTTGATTGAAATGCTGCTATTGTGTCTGTAAAGGTCATTTGCTCTGCTTTTTACCTTTGAAGTAATCTTCAGTTTTATTTGCTCGAAAGAGAACACTTGGTTTTTGGCCCTGCTCACCTTTCTTGTGATTACCTGGGGCAGGATGATTTTGTTTCGAATGAACCTTCTCTCCTGCTTTCTTTAGTTTCTTCTGTCTCTTTGGAGTTTAAAGTACATCAGACCCACCACCATCACTGGCCTGAGAAACAAAAGCAATAAAACAAAAACAAGAGACAGAGACACCGCTTTGGACTGTCTTGATGGTGGTATATATTTTGGGACAGAATCAGGAACAAAAACTTTTCAAAAACTCCCCAGACTGTGTTTTCTCTTTCAGCCTAGAGATCTTATTATGGTGCCTACAAAATCCAGGCCAACTTCTAAATTTACTGCTTCTTTCAGATGTTTCTGGGAAAGCACAGTGAACACAAAGAGCACTAGCTGGGCCTCAAAAGTTAATGAGGAAATTGGATTCAGTTGCTCACTTGAGTGTTGTAGAAATGGATTCATTGATTCTTAACTGCATTTTTTCCCCCCTAGGTCTGATTTGCATAAAAATGATATTAATCCTTTTCTAGGTAGACAATTTCCTTGATATAGAAGATTTAGACCTGGATGAAGAGATTAATCCCCAGCTGAGCAAGGGTATGTTTTCTGTTTCCTTTCTACACTGCTTGACCTCTTTCTAGAAACTACACTTAAGACTTTAGATAGCTTTTCTTTTCTTTTTTTTTTTCCGGGTGGGTGGGCGCAGGGTGCAATTCTTACCTCTCCTTTCCCTGAGATACAGAAAACCGGAGTCTTGCAGTCTCTTTTTTATTAATAAAGATTTCAGCTGAAAGGTCAAACAAAGCTTGTTGAAGGTTGTAAAGTCTTTGGTCTTAAAAGAAATAAAGATTTTCTTCCTACCATTTCCCGTTTACCGTATGATTGATTTTTGGGTAATTGTCTCAAGTAGAACCATTTAAGTCAAACTCTTATTTCTTACAATTTCTGCGTCATGCTGTAAATTGAGATTAGTTTCAAATGCTCCATAAAATACCAGTTCATTATAAACATTATGAGAGTTGGTCACAAAATAAACAAAAAAGAAAATAAAATCCAGATCTTTGCTTTTATAAATATTTATTAATATGTAAGCCAAACACTTAAAACTAATGGTATGTTGTGAATTTTTTTTTCTGGGCTGTTTTCCTACATAGGCTGGGCTGAGAGAGCCTGCTGTCCGCTGACATATATGTAGTCCATGACGTTTTTGCGGCCTTTTTCCTCTCCTGGTTAACATTTCTGTGTAAGCATAGGTATCCTTTAGTTGCTCCAAGGAGCTTTGAAATATGTTCAAAATTTGAGTTGTTTTGAAAACTCTCATTCCTAATTTAATATGCAAGAATAGCTCAAAATTAGTGTTGAGTGTTTCCATGGGGCAGTTTCCACAGGGGAGTGGGTTGGTGGTGGTGGTTGTTGACGGTCATTAGGTGCTCATTACTGTTGGAGAGGAGGGCTTCTTTCTGACCACACAGGGGTTAAAGTGCAGGCTGGAGCTGGTTTGTGGACTGCTGTCTGTAAATTGTCTACATAAGCCTCTGCTTTGGCTTCTCCGGTTCCCCCTGAATTTGAGAGGCTTTGGTAATTGGAAGCAATTAACATTTTTATTCTGCTTCCAAACATAACACTACTCCACTGAAGGGATCGTTTCTCAAGCAGTCTATTGACCAGCCAACTGCAGATTTTTCTCCCCCTTGGTTTAAGGGAGATGAGAGATCTAAGGGAATCACAGACTCCTGGGAGAGGTTCTCTTAACTTCGGTGCTTTAGGCGGCTCTGAATTTCTTTATAAGAGCAGTTTAGGGGTTCTGATTGGGTTATAAGGTATTGCTAAGGATTTATGAGGAATCCAAATTTGTAGAGCAAGCACACTGTTTCTGGGTTTTGGGTAGTTTGGGGGAAGGGAGCAGATTCCTGGGTCTTGTTCCCCCAAAAGAGTTTAATTCAGAAGGTCTTTTGTGACACCTAGTGATCTGTGTTATTAACCACTCCCCCAGGGGACTCTGAAGAACTATAGTTCTTCTGTGGGTAGTACTTGGAGTCGGCACTTGGAGTTGGCATGTGTACATTTGCAACATAAAACTAATTTCACAGGAGGGTACAACAGTTTTTGTGATGGTTACTTTTCTTGCCAGTAGTTAGAAAGTCTATATACTGACATAATCCTGCATGCCAGCAAATTTGATTTTGGTTGTATCAGTATTTTAAAATTAGTCTTTACTTTTTCAACTACTTTTACATTGTTTCCTTTAAACATTTTTAAGTTATTTTTTTTTATTACTATTAGGTCTGTTTCTTTTGTTTAAAAGATTGCATAAAAACGTCTCACTAGTATGATTTTTCCAGAAATTTGATAACAGGTAGTTTTTCATTTGTGTATAAAAGCTTACTGAGGCTGAACCAAGTCTCCGTGGACTTGGATGAGCTAGTCAAGACCTTCTGAGGTGTAAAATAATGTGAAAAGTCAAGGCTAAAAAGCAATCAAGGCTTCAGTGATCTATTCCAATTACTGAAAAGACCACCAAGCTTCACCGTTTTTATAATGTACAGTCTGGATCATCTGAAAGAAAAAAAAACACAAGAAATTTTCCAAGGTGGGTTTTATCTTTGGGTCTAATTTGTATTACACTTGTAATTTGTATTATACTTCAGGAATATGAGCAGAAGGTAAATATTTATATCAGATGGGAAATGTGACATTTTAAATAGGCAAGTTACTTGTATAATTTTGGAAGCTTGAGAGGCTTACTGATTAGATTCTGTCATTATTGTTTAAACAACTGATTTGCCTGGGGCAACCAGGAAGTGAGTTGCCTATTGTTTTTCTACCATTGACTTTATTTGTTCATCTTCTTCATTTTCATAAATATTCTCCAAGATTCAGGCCTCTGATGCAGTCCTGGGATTTAGCTTGTTGTTTCAGTAGTCCAGGTGGACACAGTTTTTCCAAGCAGCCAACCCAGTGGCGTGCTGTTGACCAGTTGTCCAAGGAAACCTTCGCCACAAAGTTCAGTACCCTGTGTTTATTTGACATCAAATTAACTTTTTTTTCCTCCTTTGAGACAAGATAATTACCCTGGTTAGTTACTGTCATGCATATCCAGAAACCTTATTATTTGGAATAGGAATTAATTATTATAGGGGCCTCCCTGGTGGCTCAGTGGTAAAGAATCCACCTGCCAATGTAGGAAACTCCGGTTTGGTTTGAGTTGAGAAGATTCCCTGGAGAAGGAAATGGCAACCCACTCCAGTATTCTTGCCTGGGAAATCCCATGGACAGAGGAGCCTGGCAGGCTATATAGTCCCTGGGATCCCAGAAGTCAGTCAACAATTAGTTACTATCTTTTGCCCTTTAGAGTAGGAAGAATCTTCTGATTGTCTTTATTTCTGTCCCCCTCAGTTGGCCCAGCCTGTTCTCTGGATGAGTACAGAAGGTCAAAGAGACCGTTTTGAAGTCTGGTGTTCAGAATTATACTGTATTATACAAGTGTCTTGACCAGCATATGTACTTGTGTTGTGGTTGATTTCACTAAATGAAAATGGGCAAGTGATTCCTGCTTGAAGGTTGGCAGCCTTATTTGATTTTCATTTTCAAGCTTTCCAGTACTTCCAGTTTTAATGAAGGTATCAGTTTCTCTCCCTCTCCCTCTTTTTTTTTTTTCCTTTTTAAATTTTCCTTATCTGCGACTTAAAAGCAACTTTATGTAGCCTGTGAATGACCTGGCTTTTATTCAGTGACTAACAACTGTGACTGGATCTGGGAATAAAAGAAAAAGTGAAACATATCTGGTTCCTGTCCTTATGGAAATTCATAGTTTATTGGAAGAATCGGACATTAACCAGGTAATCACAAATATATATTTGCAAATTGCTCTAGATCTTATGAGAGCACATTGTAGGGGAATTTGATTTTTCTGTGGATCAGATAAAGAGCAGAGAGCTTGAGATCTAAAGGATGAGTAATTGTTAACTAGGTGAGGGGTGGGCAGGAGAGTATAGGAGCAGGATAAGAAGAGCATATGTAAAGGTCCTGAGCTAGGAGAGGATGGCATATTTCAGCCAACTCAGAGTTTAGGCATTTCATTTACTTTACACTTGAGACTGTTAAAAAATCATCCTTTCACTGCTTAGAAGATCACTAAAAATGTTGAGAAGGAAAAAAATCCTAGCTTCAAAATGTTCCTCTGTCTCTATTCCTCCAATTATTTTTTATGTGCAGACTTATCCACCTATTAAATTCCAGATTGGAAGCCATGTCAGCCACAAAGGTGAATGCTTCCACTCCATTCCTGAGAACAAAATTGGGATGATAATTCTGCCCTTTTGACAGTTCCTATGTTTATTTCTCCCGTAGGAAAAAAGAAAGGCTTTATCTAATTGGAGAGATGAGGGGGAAAAACTGGATGTGTATGGATGAGGCCTTTGTCTCTTCTTTTGGGGTCATGCTGTTTGGAAGATGTATGTCCTCTCTTCTCTGCTCGTGCCTCCTTTCTTACAGTAGACCCACATTACGTGGGGCCCAGTAAAGTGGTTTTCAACCTGAGATACATTAGAATCACTTGAGGAGCTTTAAAAAAAAAAGAGACAGCACTGGATCCTGCCTTTGGGGATCGTTTTCCAGTAGTCTGGTGTGTGTCCTGGGCATGGCAGGTTTAAAAGCTCCCCAGGTGACTCTGATATGCTACTGAAGCTGAGAACCAGCTCTAGACAGTTCTGGAGGTATCACTCTTGAGCCCCTACTCCAAGAGATACAGGGATGTGAAGAAGTTCTCCTTTTAGCTGGCTGGACTTGTGTCGTCTGTATGGACTTCCTCGCAGGTGGGATAGTCTGAGGTCTAGACTTGGGAGGAAAGCTTGACAAATAAGAGGTCCAATTGTGACTGCAAGACAAGCTCCATTTTCAAAATCAGCTTCGTTATTTAGAAAGCTCATATTTTGATCCCCATTATTTTGACTCCTGAATGTATTTTTCTCTTGTTTCTATATTTAAAGGTAGAGGGGTATGATATCACTGTCAAATGCCAGCTCCAGCCGTATGTATGTCTTCCCTGATCTTCCCCAGCTTCTTGGATGGCAGTAGTAGTCTTCTGCCTCCTTTTATATTTCCACTTTTACTTTGCAATTTTTTTCTTGAAGTGGGTGTTGGTTAATGTGTCTCTTGAAAGTGGCATGTGATTTATTCCTGTGTGTCTATACACACATACACACACACACAACTTTGTCTTTTAGAGTGTCTAATCCATTTCTGTTTAATATAGTTGCTGATATATTTGACTTTAAATCTCTTATCTTACTATTTTGTTTTCCACTTGTTCTGCCAGTTGTATGTTCTTTTCTTCGCTCATTTTTTTTTGCCTGTTTTGGATTAATCAAATATTACTGTTTCATGGCCTCCTATTTTTGCTGGGTAGAGAATTCTAGGTTTATAATTATTTTCTTCAACATTTTAAAGGTGCTTTTCTGTTTTGTTATGGTGTTACTTGTTCCTCTGTTGAAAACTGTAGAAAAACCAAATGTCAACCTGATTGTTGTACATTTGAAGGTAATATCAGTATGGTTTTTTTTTTTTTTTTTACCTCATTTGCTTACTTCTGTGATTTT